AGAGAAGCAAACTGATGAGTGACAACACCACCAACCCTTCTGAGTCTAACAGAACCACAGGTAGGACATGCAGATCAGCGGCTTAGCACATCTAGGCCGGCCCCCCAGCCCCGGTAGGTTAACTACGCGTTTTCCGTGAACAGGTGACTGATTTTTTTAGACTTGCTCTCCAGAGTTTTAATTCAATTCAAGTTCATTTATAAAGCATCCTGACACGCGTCGTCTCAAGGACCTTCACACAGTAAACAGGTCAGGTCATCGAGCCAATAAGTAAAAGTTTCCTATATAAGTATCGAGTCACTGACTAGTGTCAGAGTCTTTACAGCAAATGTGTGTTACAGTGGTCCATGTCGTGGGGAGCTGACCCAACACACTCACTACCGACTGACTGGCCATCTTACGTTCACGCCTACCTATAGAGGGAGCCTCTGACTGGCAGGTGGGAGCAGCCAGCAGCAGCTTCCTGCTTGCACAATTCATTATCAGCTGGTATGCAGTGGAGAAAACATCTTCTCTGCTCAGAACCAGCGCTCCAGCTGCATGCATCGTTCCACAAATGTGGAATGACCTTCCAAGCACTACCAGAACAGGAGCTTCCTTTTCAATTTTCAAGAAACTCCTGAAGACCCTGCTCTTCAGAGAGCATCTTCTCAACTAGCACCCTCCCTGCATTCGTCCCCCTCTCTACCGTCCACTCCTTGTTCCCTCCTCTCCATGACTGATGTCAAGTTGTTATTGTTACTATTGTTGTTAGCCTCAAGGGCAACATGCCGATTATCACTTGTAAGTCGCTTTGGACAAAAGCGTCTGCTAAATACATAAACATGAACATGAATACATAAACATGAACAGTATGAGGACAGACTGCAGTGGGGGCACACAACAGTCTCATTAGGAAAGTAGGAAGCTGTGCGCTTCATATCAGAGTCTCCACAAGCAACACAGCTCATGGCCACCTGTGATTACTAACTTACGGAGGACACCACGGATTTCTCATCCATCTTTTGTCCTGTCCATGCGCTCAGAGACTCCTGCATTCTGGAGAAGGCTGTGTGAACAAAACCTGGCCATGCAGGTGTGGGTCGTCGCTACCAAGGCTGGACCGGGCCAAGCCAGACATGAAGACGCCATAAGTGAATCCACTGCTGTCAAGCGAGATCTTAAAACACACAATAAAAATCTAATTTGAAGGATGTGAGGAATGAGTTCACCATCAGAGTTTCAGTGTACCCGGCCCGGAGGGTTACCAGTGTACCTCCTGGAGCCAGACCTGGATCTGGTGCCAGTGTGCATCTGGATATGTGGGCTCATCCACCTGTGGACCCACTACCTGCAGGTGGAACATGTTGGGTCTGGTGCATTCCCTTAACAGAGATGCCAACCAGTTAACAGGTCATTTGTGGATCTGGGAAATGCTTATTTGTTCCCGAGAGCACCCTGTAAGGGAGCGTATGGGATGAATGGCTCTTCCTGACAGCCCTTTGAGGCTCTATACCAGGCAGTGTACTAGGGCTGGGCTACATGGAGAAAAACATCCTGTGATGTAATTATAATATAATTTATCCTATTGGTCAGTAACTAAAACCCAGCTCAGCCAAATAAAAGTATCCAACTGGATTTAATTAGCAAACAAGTAGGAGCCTCCTATTGGATCATTTCTGCAAACAGCCAGCCGCCTGCTGTTCCCAGGCAGGAGAAAGTAGAAGCGGGACACCTTAATGTTCTGATGCAGCTCCACTAACATGTTTGACCAAGCAGTTAAACGACACAGCATCCCCCCGCTCAACCAGCAAAATACAGTACACAAGTATAAATGTACTCACTGACAAAGGAGCAGAAACTGCTTGGATGGTCTGTTAGTAACCACAGCGTGCCCTTTTGTCCAGCTGATCCCATTATTAACATCCAAACACGAACACACACACACACACACACACCTGAAGCTCAGAGTCGACATGGCCGAACATCCACTAACGTGAGGCTGAGGTCTTTCATCCAAGCTAGCTCTGAAGTCACATGGATGCTCATTATTTACTCAGATTTTTAAGCATTTAACTCCACTTGAACAGAAGAGTTACAAAAAGTTCACCCCCTCAGAGTCGTCATGGATGTAAACTAGATCTATTAAACCTAGAATGGCTTTTGAACCAGGCTGTGTACACGTTTATTTCTGCTGTGAAGTTGCCTTTTTCAGCATGAGTCTATGAGGATTAGCTCTCTTCTGCTGCCAGACCCTAGTGGATGAAGGTGGAACTGCAACTTTTGCCACTTCCGTGCTGGCTTCATATTCGTTGCAGATCTACCGGGGCTTGATTTCTGTCTAAAAGGTGAAAATGTCCACGGCTGGGAGGAAAAGCAAGAACTGAGCATCTGAAAAGTCTTTGCTTGGTGAGTACACATCTGGGGTTTCTCTTGCTTTTAAAAGTGTTACGGTAGCAGGAGCGAGTGGGGGTGGGTCACGGTAACAGGAGCGAGTGGGGGTGGGTCACGGTAGCAGGAGCGAGTGGGGGTGGGTTACGGCAGCAGGAGCGAGTGGGGGTAAGTTACGGCAGCAGGAGCGAGTGGGGGTGGGTTACGGCAGCAGGAGCGAGTGGGGGTGGGTTGCGGTAGCAGGAGCGAGTGGGGGAGGGTCACGGTAGCAGGAGCGAGTGGGGGTGGGTTACGGCAGCAGGAGCGAGTGGGGGTAAGTTACGGCAGCAGGAGCGAGTGGGGGTGGGTTGCGGTAGCAGGAGCGAGTGGGGGTGGGTCACGGTAGCAGGAGCGAGTGAGGGTGGGTCACGGTAGCAGGAGCGAGTGGGGGTGGGTCACGGCAGCAGGAGCGAGTGGGGGTGGGTCATGGTAGCAGGAGCGAGTGGGGGTGGGTCACGGCAGCAGGAGCGAGTGGGGGTGGGTCACGGCAGCAGGAGCGAGTGGGGGTGGGTCACGGTAGCAGGAGCGAGTGGGGGTGGGTCACAGCAGCAAGAGCAAGTGGGGGTGGGTCACGGCAGCAGGAGCGAGTGGGGGTGGGTCACGGCAGCAGGATTGAGTGGGGGTGGGTCATGGCAGCAGGAGCGAGTGGGGGTGGGTCACGGTAGCAGGAGTGAGTGGGGGTGGGTCACGGCAGCAGGATCGAGTGGGGGTGGGTCACGGCAGCAGGAGCGAGTGGGGTGGGTCACGGCAGCAGGAGCGAGTGGGGGTGGGTCACGGCAGCAGGAGCGAGTTGGGCTAAGTCACGGCAGCAGGAGCGAGTGGGGGTGGTTCACGGCAGCAGGAGTGAGTGGGGGTGCGTCACGGCAGCAGGAGCGAGTGGGGGTGGGTCACGGCAGCAGGAGCGAGTTGGGCTAAGTCACGGCAGCAGGAGCGAGTGGGGGTGGTTCACGGCAGCAGGAGTGAGTGGGGGTGCGTCACGGCAGCAGGAGCGAGTGGGGGTGCGTCACGGCAGCAGGAGCGAGTTGGGCTAAGTCACGGCAGCAGGAGTGAGTGGGGGTGCGTCACGGCAGCAGGAGCGAGTGGGGGTGCGTCACGGCAGCAGGAGCGAGTGGGGCTAAGTCACGGCAGCAGGAGCGAGTGGGGGTGGGTTACGGTAGCAGGAGCGAGTGGGGGTGGGTCACGGCAGCAGGTGCGAGTGGGGGTAAGTTACGGCAGCAGGAGCGAGTGGGGGTGGGTTGCGGTAGCAGGAGCGAGTGGGGGTGGGTCACGGCAGCAGGAGCGAGTGGGGGTGGGTCACGGCAGCAGGAGCGAGTGGGGGTGGGTCACGGTAGCAGGAGCGAGTGGGGGTGGGTCACGGCAGCAGGAGCGAGTGGGGGTGGGTCACGGTAGAAGGAGCGAGTGGGGGTGGGTCACGGTAGCAGGAGCGAGTGGGGGTGGGTCACGGCAGCAGGAGCGAGTGGGGGTGGGTCACGGCAGCAGGAGCGAGTGGGGGTGGGTCACGGCAGCAGGATTGAGTGGGGGTGGGTTATGGCAGCAGGAGCGAGTGGGGGTGGGTCACGGCAGCAGGAGCGAGTGGGGGTGGGTCACGGCAGCAGGAGCGAGTGGGGGTGGGTCACGGCAGCAGGAGCGAGTGGGGGTGGGTCACGGCAGCAGGAGCGAGTTGGGCTAAGTCACGGCAGCAGGAGCGAGTGGGGGTGGTTCACGGCAGCAGGAGTGAGTGGGGGTGCGTCACGGCAGCAGGAGCGAGTGGGGGTGGGTCACGGCAGCAGGTGCGAGTGGGGGTAATTTACGGCAGCAGGAGCGAGTGGGGGTGGGTTACGGTAGCAGGAGCGAGTGGGGGTGGGTCAGGGTAGCAGGAGCGAGTGGGGGTGGGTCACGGCAGCAGGAGCGAGTGGGGGTGGGTCACGGTAGCAGGAGCGAGTGGGGGTGGGTCACGGCAGCAGGAGCGAGTGGGGGTGGGTCACGGTAGCAGGAGCGAGTGGGGGTGGGTCACGGCAGCAGGAGCGAGTGGGGGTGGGTCACGGCAGCAGGAGCGAGTGGGGGTGGGTCACGGCAGCAGGAGCGAGTGGGGGTGGGTCACGGCAGCAGGAGCGAGTGGGGGTGGGTCACGGTAGCAGGAGCGAGTGGGGGTGGGTTACGGCAGCAGGAGCGAGTGGGGGTGGGTCACGGCAGCAGGTGCGAGTGGGGGTAATTTACGGCAGCAGGAGCGAGTGGGGGTGGGTTACGGTAGCAGGAGCGAGTGGGGGTGGGTCAGGGTAGCAGGAGCGAGTGGGGGTGGGTCACGGCAGCAGGAGCGAGTGGGGGTGGGTCACGGTAGCAGGAGCGAGTGGGGGTGGGTCACTGCAGCAGGAGCGAGTGGGGGTGGGTCACGGTAGCAGGAGCGAGTGGGGGTGGGTCACGGCAGCAGGAGCGAGTGGGGGTGGGTCACGGTAGCAGGAGCGAGTGGGGGTGGGTCACGGTAGCAGGAGCGAGTGGGGGTGGGTCACGGCAGCAGGAGCGAGTGGGGGTGGGTTGCGGTAGCAGGAGCGAGTGGGGGAGGGTCACGGCAGCAGGAGCGAGTGGGGGTGGGTCACGGTAGCAGGAGCGAGTGGGGGTGGGTCACGGTAGCAGGAGCGAGTGGGGGTGGGTCACGGTAGCAGGAGCGAGTGGGGGTGGGTCACGGCAGCAGGAGCGAGTGGGGGTGGGTGAGAAATGGATTGCTGAAGCCAAAACCAACCGAACACGCGGAGCGGCACATCTGGTTTACTTGGTGCTGCTGTATGATTCTGCAGTTTGGTATCAATCCAAAACCAAATAAATACCCGGCCAGCATTGCTGATGCAGACACCCATACAATACTTTTTACCGCTAGTACCATCTAGTTTGTGTGATTTATTAAAGGGTTGCGAAGCAGTTCTGATTTCTTTCAGCACCCCCAGTGCCCATTTGTAGAAGCGAAACTATCTCTTTGCTGCACGTTCATCTTTTTAACACATTAATCAAACAGCTGAAATGTCTCCCAGCATTCCCAAGTGTCTATGCAAGGGATTCATCACTAAACTAAATAAATGATCAGGGTTCATGATCTAAAACATGCAGGAAACGTGCTGGAGCAAGACAGCAGCGTCAGGCCCCTCAGCTCGACTTTTCTAAGTCCCAGCAGACCGGACTGGCAACTGTTTATGTGCTTAGCAGACGCTTTTACCCAAAGCGACTTACAATTTTTTTTTAACCTATAGGGCATGTTGTGATCTGTGGGGGAAACCGGAGTACCCGGAGAAAACCCACGCATGCATGGGGAGAACACGCAACTCCAAGCAGAAAGGCCGCAGCCGAGTTTCGAACCTGCGACCTTCGTGTTGCGAGGCAACAGTGCTAACCACTGCGCCACCATGCAACTGTTCTGTTGCTAGTGCCATAATCTGGCCACATGGGGCGATAGGCGCTGGGCGGCCTGTCATTAACCATGTAAGGGGTCGTTTTAGCACATACTGGCTCAAGAAAGTCATTTAAAAATGGAATAAACTGTCCCTTTAAGAGAATGCATCATCCATATGAAAATGTGTCCGAAAACTCAAATTTCAATGATGTTTTAAGTGAGTTTTCCCTTTAGTCAGTCACGTGTCTGATGACAATAACAATAAAGCACAGGAAACATTTTCAGACAAGTTACAATACTTTAATTATGTAACTCAAAATGATAAAACAACGTGTTGCCCCGTTGACTGCCATTTGTGGCATTACAACCACAGTTCTCTAAATCACAGCGCTCTTTTAGCCAGGGAGGCGGGATGTCCCTGCAAACAAACATGGCTGCCGCTCCAGAACAGACCAATCACAGCGCTCTATCTATTATGTGATATGGAGATCATCTATTGTTTACCTCCTTGTATTATTAGAGTAACACTTTTGAATGTTTTGATGGTATGATGTCATTTCCAGTCATATTTACAAACATTACTGCACATTATACACATGTTTACTTTATGAATACTGAGAGACACAATTTCAAACATTTTGGTATTTTACAGTAATTATTGTTATTTCAACAATTATAATTATACAGAGAGAAAGAGAGAGAGTGTCTGGAGGAATACTGGGAGGAGGAGGAGGAGGAGCTAAAAGTGTAAAATGTGAATTTTTGCATTTCTTTACAGTTTCTAGTAGTGTAGCTATTAGCTACTAATAGTGTACCACACTAGTGTAGTGTAGCTATTAGTTACTAATAGTGTACCGCACTAGTGTAGTGTAGCTATTAGCTACTAATAGTGTACCGCACTAGTGTAGTGTAGCTATTAGCTACTAATAGTGTACCGCACTAGTGTAGTGTAGCTATTAGCTACTAATAGTGTACCGCACTAGTGTAGTGTAGCTATTAGCTACTAATAGTGTACCGCACTAGTGTAGTGTAGCTATTAGCTACTAATAGTGTACCGCACTAGTGTAGTGTAGCTATTAGCTACTAATAGTGTACCGCACTAGTGTAGTGTAGCTATTAGCTACTAATAGTGTACCGCACTAAGTGTAGTGTAGCTATTAGCTACTAATAGTGTACCGCACTAGTGTAGTGTAGCTATTAGCTACCAATAGTGTACCGCACTAGTGTAGTGTAGCTATTAGCTACCAATAGTGTACCGCACTAGTGTAGTGTAGCTATTAGCTACCAATAGTGTACCGCACTAGTGTAGTGTAGCTATTAGCTACCAGTAGTGTACCGCACTAGTGTAGTGTAGCTATTAGCTACCAATAGTGTACCGCACTAATGTAGTGTAGCTATTAGCTAGTAGTAGTGTACCGCACTAGTGTAGTGTAGCTATTAGCTACTAATAGTGTACCGCACTAAGTGTAGTGTAGCTATTAGCTACTAATAGTGTACCGCACTAGTTTAGTGTAGCTATTAGCTACTAGTAGTGTACCACACTAGTGTAGTGTAGCTATTAGCTACTAATAGTGTACCGCACTAGTGTAGTGTAGCTATTAGCTACTAATAGTGTACCACACTAGTGTAGTGTAGCTATTAGCTACTAATAGTGTACCGCACTAAGTGTAGTGTAGCTATTAGCTACTAGTAGTGTACCACACTAGTGTAGTGTAGCTATTAGCTACTAGTAGTGTACCGCACTAGTGTAGTGTAGCTATTAGCTACTAATAGTGTACCGCACTAGTGTAGTGTAGCTATTAGCTACTAATAGTGTACCGCACTAGTGTAGTGTAGCTATTAGCTACTTATAGTGTACCGCACAAGTATAGTGTAGCTATTAGCTACCAATAGTGTACCGCACTAAGTGTAGTGTAGCTATTAGCTACTAATAGTGTACCGCACCAGTGTAGTGTAGCTATTAGCTACTAGTAGTGTACCACACTAGTGTAGTGTAGCTATTAGCTACTAATAGTGTACCGCACTAGTGTAGTGTAGCTATTAGCTACTAATAGTGTACCACACTAGTGTAGTGTAGCTATTAGCTACTAATAGTGTACCGCACTAAGTGTAGTGTAGCTATTAGCTACTAGTAGTGTACCACACTAGTGTAGTGTAGCTATTAGCTACTAATAGTGTACCGCACTAGTGTAGTGTAGCTATTAGCTACTAATAGTGTACCGCACTAGTGTAGTGTAGCTATTAGCTACTAATAGTGTACCGCACTAGTGTAGTGTAGCTATTAGCTACTTATAGTGTACCGCACTAGTGTAGTGTAGCTATTAGCTACTAATAGTGTACCGCACTAAGTGTAGTGTAGCTATTAGCTACTAATAGTGTACCGCACTAGTGTAGTGTAGCTATTAGCTACTAGTAGTGTACCACACTAGTGTAGTGTAGCTATTAGCTACTAATAGTGTACCGCACTAGTGTAGTGTAGCTATTAGCTACTAATAGTGTACCACACTAGTGTAGTGTAGCTATTAGCTACTAATAGTGTACCGCACTAAGTGTAGTGTAGCTATTAGCTACTAGTAGTGTACCGCACTAGTGTAGTGTAGCTATTAGCTACTAATAGTGTACCGCACTAGTGTAGTGTAGCTATTAGCTACTAATAGTGTACCGCACTAGTGTAGTGTAGCTATTAGCTACTAATAGTGTACCGCACTAGTGTAGTGTAGCTATTAGCTACTTATAGTGTACCGCACAAGTGTAGTGTAGCTATTAGCTACTAATAGTGTACCGCACTAGTGTAGTGTAGCTATTAGCTACTAATAGTGTACCGCACTAGTGTAGTGTAGCTATTAGCTACTAATAGTGTACCGCACAAGTATAGTGTAGCTATTAGCTACCAATAGTGTACCGCACTAGTGCAGAGAACATAGTTACTGCACCAGAAGGAAAATACTTTTATTTTAGTCGACTAAAATGAAAACAAACTGAATTGTGAATGAAATGAAAAAGATTTGGAGTCAAACGACTAAAACTAAATTAAAATTTCTTCTCAAACTAAACACTGATAATGAACTTCCTTTAAGATCACAGGACCCAGCTTTACTGAGGCTTGCTCAGGTGCAGGAGAGTGTGGGTGACTGCATCCCTAGTTAGCATAGGCCTGTTTCTGGACCCAGGAACAAACCTGGACCAGAACTGTGGCGCTGCACAGATGGTGGCACGATAAGGGTTAGCACGTCCTCCCCACTGGTGAGTGGGTCTCCTCTGGGTTACCGCCCACACACTAAAGACATGCTTGTTGAAGCTAGATCTTTATGTTTCACTTATCACAGAGCAAGACGCTGAGCAGACCCTACTGCGGTGCACCGTGGAATATACAGACTTCAGGGAACTAGAGTGGGTCCAGGTTCATTTGGAGTTCAAGAGAGGACAACATGTCTGTGTGTGTGTCTCACCATTCTCTGGCTGCTCCTTGATATCTGATTCGCTGGCTTGGTTGGGGCTTGCTGATGAGCCGGTTTCTGTCAGAAAGAAAGGAAAAGCGATGAGGAGGAGACCAACAACTAACTCTAGGCATGACGGTGCCCGGCAGCTTCTGGCCCAGTCGGTCAGTCTCAGTCACCGTCCTTGGGCTTCACCTGGGAGGGTCGGAGGGGCTGGTGGTGCTGCATATGCAGCCTGGCTCCAACCACCAGAGGTGGAAAGAGTACTAAAATGTTCTACTTAAGTACGAGTACCAATACTTTGATAATTTTTTACTCAAGTATAAGTAAAAGTACTTGCCTAAAAAGTATCGTAAATAAAATGTACTCAAAGTAAAAGTTACTTAGTTACATTTTTGTCAGCATAAGGATGGCTACATCTAAGTAGTGCTAAATCACAATGCTAGTTCACAATTTGCTCGTATGTGCGCACGTACACACACGCGCACACACACACGACTAACTACACTGAACTGCTTTAGTAATAAATTAATCTCTTATTCTGGAGTAAAACAAAGAAACAAGCTAAATCATCACATATCTGTGGCATCAAGGAGCATCTTCTGAGTTCAGACACAGGGATGGAGCACAATGTTTACACCTGAACCGTATCAGGATGGTTTAACTCACAGAGGCCTGCAGGTCTTCTGAGCAAAGCGCTGAGAATCCGCTTGTTATGAGCGCTAAACGTTATTTTGCCGCTTCTGTGCGGAGCGATAGGGAAACACAATTCAAACACGGAACCGAGTCCGGCTACCGAACCCATAAACACGTGTTTATATACATATCTATGACCGAACCAAGCAGAATTCTGATGACGTCACACCGGAGCGCGAAGTTGCGGGTTCCAACCCACAGGAGAGGAGGGAGAGAGGAGGTAAACAGCGAGTGGATCACAGGGACTGAACTGGTGTTTTAGAGCAAAACTGCTGTAAAAATGGCTGTTGGTCCTCGTAATCTAAGTAATTTATTAAGCCTATAACTTGTTTTTACTCAGTAACGGATATGATTTCAAATGTAGCAAATTACAATTATTTTTTAAAAACGTACTCAAGTAAAAGTAAAAGTACAGATTTTAAAAACGACTTAAAAAGTATAAATATACAAAAAAGCTACTCAATTACAGTAACAGGAGTAAATGTAATTCGTTACTTTCCACCTCTGTCAACCACACACTGCCCTGTGCAACGTGTGTGTGTGTGTGTTTTCCTCTCCACTGTCGCTGCATGCTTGCTTAGTATGAGGATTGCTGTAAAGACTCTGACACTAGTCAGTGACTCGATGCGACCTGCTGGGTTCCTTATATAGGAAACTTGTTACTGATTGGCTGAATGACCTGACCTGTATTGTTTACTGTGTGCAGGTCCTTGAGACGACTCTGGTCCTGACTTGGTGCTTTATACTGTAAATAAGCTGAATTGGATTGATTAAGGTTCTGGTCTGTGATAAAGATGAGGTTCTAATATTGTAATGAAGCTGCGGAAAAAGTAAACGAAGGAGGATGAAAAGGAGGAGACCAGTCCCATTCTGCAGTGACGAAGAAAAAGAAAATCAATGGTAATGGCTCTGCCGCAGGAGACAGAAAACACACACACACACACACACACACACACACACACACAAGCCATATGCGTGCGCGTGCACACACACTCAGGGGTGCAACCCACTACTTTCTGAAGTGTATGCAGCCAGAAACAGGCACCAAGATTCCTGACAGAAGGTTTGGTGTGGGAAGCAAGCTGACCAAGAGAGTCTCTGACTTTGGGAACCAGCTTGTCTGGGGCACAGATGAGGATCTCAGTCTTATCTTCATTCAGCTGAAGAAAGCTCCCACCATCCAGGTTCTGATAGAGTCTAAGCAGGTGTGGAACAGCTGCAGCTTAGACATCTCATGGGGCTTAAAGGAGATGTACAGTTGGATGTCATCTGCATAAAGATGGTAGGAGAGTCCTTTAACCCTCTGGAGGCAGGCGTTGCAGATTATAACATTAAAACCTACCTACCTGGTTGCTCCACATACGTATTTCATGAGCATTTTTTAAGTCAGAAGTAACCCTGAAGGACTTAGTTGTTCATCCTTTTATCAAAACGTATTTTGAGCCTGAGAGGGTTAAAGGAGCTCAGGATGTGCTGAAGAGGAAGCAGATAGAGGAGGAAGAATAGAGGCCCCAGCATAGAACCTTGTGGGACACCATAGGTAAGGGAGGTATTTGGAGACAGCAATTGATAAAACTCTTGAGATAAACATGCAGACGTGGGGGTGTCTGAAGCAGGACACTGTTGAGCCACATGGGATAACGTCCTTGGTGCTGCACATCTGAAACTATGTATTTGCTGATTTTTTACTGCATTTGATAAGCCTCTGAACAGCAGAAGCACATGATGTCGAGTCAGCTGCAGGAATTCAACATATGTCTCAGTTGTTTGTAAGGGTCAGGGATGACCCAGCTCCTCCGCTTGGCGTTCCCTGAACGTGTTTGAGGTTGGCCCTCTTTTATATTGATTTTATTTCCTCTTTTTATTGGTCACTTTATCCATTGTTTGATCTATGTGTTTCTACTTCAGTGTTCTAATGCACTTTTAGTATCTATTTATTCATTATGATTTACATTTCTTACGTACTGTGTACAGCGCCTTGGGCTCCCTGACCGGGTCGGGGAAGGCGCTTTATACAGAAAGCTTTGATTTGATTTGATTTGAAAGATGGAGCGTGAGATCGATAGGCGGATTGGTGCTGCGTCTGCAGTGATGCGGGCGTTGTACCGGTCTGTCGTGGTGAAGAGAGCTTCGCCTTCTGGCTCAGCTTTCGATTTACCGGTCGATCTACGTTCCTACCCTTACCTATGGTGAGATCACAGATACAAGCGGCTGAAATGAGTTTTCTCCACAGGGAGGCTGGGGTCCCTTAGAGATAGGGTTGCATTGAGAGGATTTAGTTAACATGCCAACTGGACGCCGGGCACGTCCAACCGGGAGGAGACCTAAAGGTAGACCCAGGACACGGGGGAGGGACTATGTCTCTCACCTGGCCAGGGAACGCCTTGGGGTTCTCCCGAAGGAGCTGGCCCAAGTGGCTGGGGAGAGGGAAGTCTGGGCCTCTCGACAGGATGCTGCCCCCACGACCCGACTCCGGATAAGCGGATGAAACAGGATTGATTGATGGATGTTTTCAAGGGTGACAGTTCAGAGTGGGTTTCTGGTTTGAACCCAGGCTCCATGGCCTTCGTTGTGTCCTTGGGCAAATTCTCTTCACAGTT